GCAAATAAATAGGGAAATATATATTATTGGGCGAAGAATTGAAGATTTTAGGGTGACAGACTAAAATCTCTAATTTGGTCTTAGTGTTTAAGAACTAAAGCGAGAGTTAGCCTTAGGGGAAGGGAGGTGGGAGCTCTGGAGTGAGAGTCAGTATCCTCCTAGCCTAACCACAAATTTAGAGACTAAACCTAAGAGTAGCCAACAATTCTCTAGAACACTTGAGTATGGGTAGAGAATTAAAATTTCTCTTATTTGACACGATACAAATTCAAACCATTTATCTCTCTCATTTAACCAAAAACTCATTGTAGTGGGAAATATGTTTTCTCATATTTGATAGCTTCATCACAGAAACATAATGTGGTAATTATAGTTTAACTTTACTTTACAGTCTTGCTAGTAGCTGATAATTTAGTTATGATAGCACCTTAAATATTTGCAATTAGTGTAGTAGATTTTCTTCATTATTGTGAATTTTGCTAGTTTAAATTACAATTGCGAATTTAAACCTTCCTTGTGGGATCGATATTTGGGGCTTGAACAAAAAATCTTGTATTACTTGATAATAATATGTATACTTGTTAATATGTATACTTGTGTAAAATATACTTGCGTAAAATCCCATCATAAATTGCTTTAATTTCTTATTTATAAATATTGAATCAAGTTTTTGGCATCGCTGCAAAGCGGAGGCAACTTTATCAATTTTATACTACTATAATTTTCGGGATCAGACGCTTAGGCGCCCCAATTCATTTTTACATTTTTCTTCATTTTTGCTCCAAATTTGACCCTTTTTCATTCTTTTTAGCCTTTTCCATCCATTTTGATTGTACTTGAAAGAAAACTCACAAATACCCTTCATTACAGTGCAATATCTAAAAAATTAGATATAAAAATATGTATAAAAACACTATATTTATGTATTTATCGAGTTTAAGACTTCTACACTAGCATATTTAGGGTGTTCTTCTTATAGGGAGCCATAAATAATAAAGAAAAGCTTAATTTATAAGTTAAAATAATGTTTTTTTATGCATGTGTTGTTTAGCACTCCTCCTATTAGACTTGTTTCATTATACATTACATGCGTTAATATTTTATTTTTAGGTCTAGTCTTTTTGTGCCTTTCTACATACTTTTAGAGTCTTAAGAAAGTGTATATTAAAAATAAGATATGGGTATGAGTTATGATGGCGTTTGATGTACATAAGTGTGTGGTAAGAGTCAAGAGTTGTTTTGCTCGTGTCTTGTACCTTAAATCTACCTTTATTTTATTATATAGATTTAGGATCATGCATATACATGCATGCTTGACTACTATTTGCTTTTCTATGATTGTAGTTGAACCATGGTTGCTTGTTTTCTTACTGATTATTTAGTGTGTTTATTTTATCATTGTGTGTTATATTTAACACTTTATTTATTTATGGTATGTTTTAGTACAATCATGATTAAGCTCTAGTGTAAAATCTTTACTTTGAAAGATTTTCTTTAATAAGATTAAAGATAAAAACTTTTAAGTTTATAAAATAAGCTTTTTTTTCTATCTTTACTTTCTTACATGGCTTTAAGGATAAATATAAAATGATCATAACTGCATGAGCTTATCCCCCTTGCATATTAATAAGGGCTCAACACTTAGGATGTCTTAAACAATTGAATTCATATTGGATGTCCCAAGGGAAGTACTCTTATTTTCAAATATTACTGCTAAAGCATATGCTTTATACACCTAGATGGTTTTGTTTATCATGTTTGTGGTGTCAGAGGCAGTCCTAACCTAGACAAGATTATGAGTGTTTTATAGGGCAATTTGGCTTTATAGACAGACTATCAAACCTTCTTTCTACTCTGTAGACCTTTTGGCCAAACTCTTAGCAAGTATAAGTTCAACTATAACTTTTTAATTTGGTTAGGCTCATAGGAACCTTTGATATTATTTTCTTCAATTTTAGAGCTATTAAGCCACTTCAAAGAAGCAACTCACAGGTTGTTAATAGAAGACTCCTGATTAGGTTGGAGTGACTATCTTCCTGACCAAGTAGTCTTGAAGTTATGATTGCCTGGGATGATGGAATTGCAAAATCCCGACCATGTTATTTTTACCTATTTAGGACTTTTAATGTCTATAATTTGCTACCCCCTTTGAACCCTTTTTGTACTCATTGGTTGAGTCTTGCAGTCCTCTTATGGGCCCTCCTCATTGAGACTCGAGTTACTTATTGGGTTACAGTGATTCACTCTCTACTCGATAGCTTAGTGACACTCCACTGATATAAGTTTTTGTTGTGTTGAGATGACAAAAATCACTTTGGGGACCTTTTATTTTTATAAAGTCAATCTTAAGCAAGTATAACCTCTTTGATTATGAGTTTTCTTTGGGATCTACTAGGATATAATTGACCATCAGAATGGATCATCATGGAAGATCTATTTGACTCCAAAATAAAGTAACGTTTATTTACTATTTTAGTTTGGTTATGATGGTCTTTTTATAAGATCATTCTCTTGTATTCGCTTGGGTAGAATATGGTCTACTTTCTTTTGGACCACTCTTCTCTAATTTATATTATAAGGATTTTTATATAAATATATTCGTAGCTACTCTTTTTTTCATCTTAATTTTTCTCCACTTTCAGCTTTTTCTTTTTTCCCTTTACTTTTCTAAGTGAGGGTAACCTAGAAAGAGGAATCCGTAAAGGGCAAATATCAAGAAGGTCATTCATTTAGAGCAAAAAGGACGTGAATAAGAAAGGTGTCCACTCACTAAAAAAATATTAGAAGGCATAAGTTTCAAAAGATACAAAGTTTCTACACATTCAAAAATCTAAAGCAAAAACCATAGTTGCTATTCTAAGAATCTATTAAAGCATAGGCTTAGAAAGGTTTAACATCTTTTCTTATTTAATATAAAAAAGTCATAGTAAATTGGAAGACTTTATGTGCATCTAATGTTAGATAAGGTTTTTTTTATTAAGAGTTAATTATATAATATCACTATCACAATGCATTAAAGAGAAGAAAAAAGAAACCGCCCAATTTCATCATTCAATGGATCAAATTCACTTTGCTTTGGTTAGGGGGTAATATTATGCACTTGATATTAGCTTAAAAATCTACTATGAAAACTTAGAGTAATATTAACAAAACAAAGTTTGGAGGTGTCATACAATTTTAATGAGATCTTAAGGACATATTCTCTTATGGTGAAAAATTCTTAATGAATCCATTTCATACAAAATAAAAATTTGAGGGATATGATAACCGCCCACACAATCTAATCAATACTTAACCTCATATTATTAAAAATGCATAGAGGGATTCTATACAACTAAGAAATGACAAATCATTTCATTCAAATGGTTAATTGGATTATATATAATGTTCATTTTCAAAAAATAATTGATAACACCTCCCTCATCAAGTAATATGTTCAACATATAAAACATTATTTATGAAAACTTTTAAATTGTCAGAAATGAAATAATTCTTTTAATGGGGCATCCATATATATAGTAAGATGAAGTTATTCACAGCAATCCTACCTCCCTCTAGTTATTTATATTTTTTACAAGTAAAAATTAGTATGGTTAATTGAAGAAAACTATCTAGAAATAACATCCTCATCTTTAATAAACTTCTCCCTTTATTATGATATAATCACAAGAGTGGATAAAATAATTATGGTAATTTTTATTCCGAGTCCAAAAAGTTTTTATTTGGCATCATTTTCAATGTGGTTAATAAACTTTCATATACATAGTTTATAGGATCTAGTTATAGTATAAGAGCTCTTTCAAATTCCTTAGTAGACTTTCCTAGTGACAAAGCTATGACTAAACCAAATGCAATGGTAAATCAACCCCTCTTTTTATGATTAAGAAGAACTCAAGCTAGTCCTTAACATACCAATGTGAAGTTAAACTAACCACAATTATATCATTAAGAATCATAAAGCAAACTAAGCACTTCCCTTAAGTTATAAGGAACTTATATGTCACCCTTTAAGACTTTGAATGCTAAGAATTTAAAATTTAAATTAAGCCTTATCACACATTCTAAAAGTCTTTGAATCCAAACTTGACTTACTTTGAACCATGATGATTTGGTTGACCTAGTTTGACCAAGTGAACCTATAAGTACCCTGAGCATGGACTTCATATGTCTGCTTTCTGTGAAAAAATTCAATTAGACACGCGAGAGCTTGTGGGAGGTCCACGAAGAAACGAGAAACCTGCATCAGTTGGGGGACAACTCTGCACGGAAGAAAATGTGAGGTCTCACGTGGGGGTAAAAATAATGAAGTTGTACCTGTATCTAATCCTTAGCAATGATTATAACAAACAAATGTTACATAATGATATATTAGTGGTGTGTTTGAGGGTGGTGGTGTGAAGACGGCGGGGTGGCTGCTAGATAGTTATTGTCCACACATTTTTGTGTTTGACAAAACTGTATTTTGCATGATATTTTCAAAAAACATCAGCTAAAAGCTGAGTTATGCAATCAAACTTAGCTAAATGCGGTGACTGCTAGAAAGTTGTTGTCTAACTTTTGAATAAGAGTTGCAAAAACCACCATATTTTTGAAAAAAATAGTTTCTTCTACAATAATTTCACAACATTTCTTCAAATATTTATAGCTACCCAAAAACAAACTTAGAGTTGTTAGTAGAATTTTGATGGTATAAAAGTAAAATTGAATTTTGAGCTGTTAGATGTAAAATTGAGATAGTTTGAGTTGGTATGCATTTAATTATAATACCAAGCTCTTATGCATTTAATTATCTCACACCAATCTTTGATTTTTACATGATGAACACCTTTTTCTATGTATGAAAATATAGAAATAGTGCATTTCATTTTTTTATACATCGATTAGGGTGTTTATGAGGTAAAATCAATGTTTAGGTGGGAGATAAGTAAATGCATAAGAAAAGTGCCATTTGTGTAAATTTTTCAAAACAAAAAAAAAAAAAAAAAAAAGAAAAAAAAAAAAAGAAAAGAAAAGAAAAAAAGAACAGAAAAAAACGAGTACTGCTGCCGGTGCCGGGGCGAGTAAATACGGCAGAACTTAGGGTTTTGAGAAACCTCGGGGACGCAGAAAATCAAAACGAAAGCTTTGCTTCGATTCGTCCTCCTCCTACTCTGGACCTCTGTTCTTGGATATTGTCAACAATAATCTAATATGGGCGACAATGGGGATGAGCTCAATGGCTACACCGTTATTAAAGAAGGGGACGCCGAGATACTTATGCATACCAGCAACATCGTCTTCTTTAACAAAGCCCAGGTTCAAGGGACCCCTTCTTCCTTCTACTTTCTATCCATTGCTTCCTGCATAGTGTTTCATCTTTAGATTTTTTGTGCTGTCCTTGATTGATACGAGTAAAATTTATCTTTTTTTTGTATCTGAATTAATTTGCTTCAGTTTTATTTGGTTCTGTTTGTAACTAAGTATTCTTGGGCTGCGGGGTGAAGGGATTTGGCATGTTACTTGCTGTTCAGAATATAACTCGAAACATTTTCTTAAGCTATATTTCAATCATCACATCAAGCAAGATATTGAACATGAATTTGCAAAAGGCGGTATGGATTTTGATTCCTTCTTGATCCTTGAAGTTTTACAAATTGAGTTGAAACTGTAATGTGAAATTTTTAAATTGAATTGTTTACTGTTTCATTGCCTTGAGGTCAGCTAGAACCATTTGTTGAGGGAACAATTGAGGATAATTACTAACATATCGTACTGCAATAAATTAGACAGTTAATAACCATGACATTTGGTCATCAAAAGAAAAGTAAAATGATTGCATATTTTATGCCTCTAACAGGGTACTAATCATTTTGAATGATTTTGCATTTGATTGAGTTGGTAATGTTAGAAATTATAATGTAACATAAAATTTTATTATTAGTAATAACATTCTAACACTGTTTTTAGAGATAATATTTTAACATTAAATTTTTAAATGACCCATGGATTATTAATAACTTAGAATTTATCATTGATGACTAGCCAAGTGTGTACAAATTATAGAGGCATTAAGTTAATGTGTCATACCTTAAAATTATGGGAAATTTAACATAGGCTGATACTTGATACAAAGTTTTCTCATAATCTAGTTGGATTTATGTCAGGCATGTCTAGTATGGTAGCTATACATTTATTGAGAGGTTTGATGGTAGAAGCACAAAGAGAGCAAGGAGGATTTACATATGATTTTTATTGATTTAGAAAAAGCCCACAATAAGGTTCCAATAGAAGTTCTTTGGAAAATTCTTGAAAAGCAAGGTATTGATATGACTTATATCTAGTCATTAAAGATATGTGTGCTAGAGCTGTTACTTGTGTTTGAACAGAAAGAGGATTGCTAAAATATTTTTCTATTTTAGTTATATTACATTAGGGATTGACTGTATGCCCATATCCTTTTGCTTTAGTTATGGATGCACTTACTAGACATTTATAGGAGGATGTACGTTGGTCTATGCTTTTCGCTGACGATATCCTTCTTGTGGATAAGACTATAGAAGAGTTCAAGATAAGCTTGAATTATTGGGGTTTACATTAGCGTCTAAAAAATTTCATTTCAGTAGATTTGAAAGTGAATACATGTAATGTAATTTTAGTAGGAGTAGATCTAGTGGCAGAGGTGTAACTATGGGTGATCGAATCATTAAAAGGAGTGAATATTTAAGATATCTCGAGTTTATCGTTCAAAGTGATGGTGATATAGATAGGGATATTATAAGTAGAATTCATGTTGGATGGTTAAAGTGGAGGAATGCATCGGCCTATTGTGTGATAGAAAAGTATAGTTTAGACTTAAAGGAAAATGATATAAGATGGTGGTAAGGATTGCAATGCTTTGTGATGCAGAATGTTGGTCTATAAAATAAAAACCTAATACTAAGTTGAATGTTGCTGAGATGAGAATGCTTAGGTGGATGAGTGACTTTACTCTTAGAGAAAAAAATAGAAACAAATATATTTTTAAGAAGGTTAGTTTAGCTCCAGTGGCGGGCAAAATTATAGAGTTTTCTTCGATGGTTTGTTCACATTAAACGTGGATCACTGATGATCTGGTTAGGAGAGTAGATTTTTTAGATTCGACTTATGTTAAGAAAGGTAGAGGCAGACCTAAAAAGACTTGGGCATGTTGTATAAAAATTGATCTTAATTTTTAAATCTAAATAAAAATATGACACTAAATATGACACAATGGATAAAAAAGATTCATGTAGCCGACCCCTCTTAGTTTGATAAAGGCTTATTGTTGTTGCTGATATATGACGAGCCAAAATTTTTTTGGTAAAAAAAAGACTTATTTTTTCAAAAATTTATAGAACATTCGATAAAATAATGCTTGAGTTAATAGTGGTGTTTCTATTAAGGGATGATTTTGTCTCCATTAAAAAAATTATCATCATCCAAAACAATTGGTGTAAACAATGAAAAATCATTGTTTTCATAAAATCTCAACGATCATAATGAATCAAATTATTTTAAATTTATGATTAAAATATTATGAAAATCATCCCGTTTAATCTCGTTGATTTAATTTGTTTATGTGATTATTTTAATTTGCACATTCAAAGAAGAGATTTTAGTGAATGCGAGAATTTCTTACATTGTGGTATCACATACCTGTTTCGCTTATTATTCCCATTAAAAATTATTTTATGACTTTTTTGAACAAAATCAATTTTTAATATGTAATGTAGATTATCACTTTGTCATGTCATCTTCTCTAATGTGTGCTCTTATCATATCTTAATTTACTTATTAAATTTGTGTAATTTCTCGTTAAATTAAAAGATTTATTTGAAAATATCTGTAACTATGAGCATACTTTGTTTTGTAATAAGACCTGATGGTATTTTAAATGATAGTTTGGTTATAATTTATTCTAGGCATCTCAGCTGTTAGCGTGATATTTTCCAATCAAAATAAACAGTTTTACTGTTATTATGTATTTTTTATATTTTTTTGATTAAATTATCATTCTAGGCATATAAATGTTTTATGTGAAAGATCATTATATTTTCTTCTTTTACCATTTGAAATTTTATATATATCAAAGTCACTTTTTTAATATATTTCATTTCACCGAAATAATTATCGTTTCTATTAATTAAATTAATGTATATATCAAACATAATTTGTTAATCATGAAAGTGATTTTATTATAAAGATTTTATAAATATCAAATTAAATATAGCTCAATTACTCATGTGTATGTGATGCTATTAATGAAATGATATGATGAAATTAAATAATTGTTATCATGAATAATTTGAAAATTATTGGTTATAAAATATTTAAGGATTGCCCGAATGTTGATTAGTAATTTTGTCACCATAAATTTGATTGGGGTTTGTTATTATACTTGATTAGATATGTTTAGTCTATCCAAAGATGAAAAACACATCTAATTGAAGTATATGTAATTAACAATTACATGAAAATTAAATTTAACATCGATAATATTATGTTATTGTATATTGGAGTATCACTTAATTGAGAACTTCAATATGCATTTGAGTATATAATTGTCATTTGAATCATTATTATGTGTTTAAATTTACAATTCAACATTTTAATGTATGGGTGTTCTATTTTTATTTTTGTAGCATCTATTATTATTGCTCTTCATTCACAAGCTTTATTTATTCCAAAGTTTAATGAGCTTAACTTTGTTTAATGAAGTGAACAAATGGAATTCCATTTAGGTGTTTTGGTTTGAAAAGTCTGTTGCTATTATCGATACTAAGTAGCTTTGAACAAAAATCTTTCTATAATGCTTTAAAAAGATTGAAAAAATTTAGCATAATTTTTATCCAAATGATTTTAGTTGACACCTTTAAACCAATAATTAAAAAAATTGAGAATGCTAAGGAGTTTATAAAGTTTGTCCAAGATTAGCCTTAGTTCGAGTATATTGATAAGTTATTTGTTAGGACACTAATGAATATATTGACCATTGTATATTAAGTTTGGTGATTTACGTATAATATATGGGCATATCACGGAAATGTCAAATATTACAACAAGATTAAATACCATGGGAATGAATATGTGTGAAAATTTTCTTTTGTAGCTCTCTTATAAATTTCTTGCCTCCTGAATGTGGTTCATTCCAAATAAACTATAATACTACAAAGAATATGGAATGTAATTGAATTGCATATTATATTTATTCAGAAAGAAACAAAGCTTAATAAGGCATTCACTCAATCAATCTAATGGGTTAGTTTGAAGCTAAAAAGTCAGGAAAAAATATGAAGGCGAGTAAAGGAAACTTAAAAGCTAATGTATCATTTGTTCAAATCCAAAAGAAGAGACAAAATGATGATATATGCTATTTATGTCACAAATATGGACACTATAAAAAGAATTGCGAAAAACTTAAAGCTTAGTTTGAGAAAATGATAAGTTAGCGCTTCTGTATGTTTCTAATCAAATTTGACCAAAATTCCTTTTAATATTTGGCTGATTCTAGTTATACATTCATTTTTTAAATGTGATGTAGGGATTCTTTACTACCCAAATCATCGAGCTAAACAAAACATATGTTTTTATTAGAAATTGAGTCAAAGCTCTAGTTGAAGTCATTGAAATGTATTGCTTCCTTCTAGATACTAAAAATCATTTAGATTTTTTTCAAACTTCTTATGTTCTTTTTATTTTCAAAAATTTATTTTCTTTATTTAGACTTGATACCACTGAATATTATTTTAAATTTGGAAATGATTGTTTAGTTTATTTTAGTAAAATCATCTTTTTGCTTTTGTTTTTCTTTATGATGATTTTTATAAATTAAAGCTTAATGCCTTGTTTGGAGGAGCTTCGCCGTCCGCGAAGCTCCTTTAAGCATGACGTTCGCGATTGGAGGAGGGCACTCACGTTTTGGAATGATGACATATTAACGTCGTGGTGGAAGAAACCGCCGCCGCGTCTCACATTCAAATGAGAGGATGCTGTTTTCTCAGCTTTCTCCATACCACAACAAAGAGAGAAAATTCTCTCAAATGTGGCCTAATAGTTTATTTGTTGAGATTTTGACTTTGCATCATAATATTGAAATAAAACTTGATTTAATAAATGAAAGATCTGCTTATTTATGATATAAATATTTCGGTCATATATGTAAATAAAGAATACAAAGAATAGTAAAAACTAAAATTCTTTCAAATTTAGGTTTCACTGATCTTGATATATGTGGTGTAAAGGAAAAACATACAAAACACCACCATAAGAAACACACTACTTTTGAAAATTATACACATTAGTATAAGTGGGCCTTTTGATGTTCCACTTTTTTGGTGGAAAAAAAATATTTAAATACCTTTATTGATAATTTTCAATGTTATAGTTGTCTATTTATATTATGAAAAATTGCAATCAGTAGAGGCCTTAGAGGTATTTGGTAATGAGGTTGAAAAATAATTAGAGAAAAAAAAAAAAGATTTGATAGATGTGATGAAAATTTTGTAAGGTTTGATGATATTAGAAAATGCTTTCATCTTTTTGCTTAATTCTTAGAAAGTATGACATATGTGCTAAATACACAATGCTAGACACACTGCAATAAAGTTGTATTGCAAAATGGTGCAATCGTACCTTAGTTAATAAGCTAGGAGTAAGTTGAGTTATGTTTATTTATTCTTATCATTGTGAATGCATGCTTTAAAAGTTGTTATGCATTTGTTAGACAAGGTTCCTAATAAGATAGTTCCAATGATTTTAAACTGTGAACATGAAAGAAATTTAGTTTAAGATACTTTCATATTTGGGATTGCCTAGAGGAAGTAAGAATTTATAATCCATATAAAGAGAACTCGATTCAAGAATAATTAGTGATTTTTTATTCTTATCCAGAAAAATATATTTTGTATAGATTTTATTATCCTAGACATAATACAAAAACTAGAAATACTAGATTCGTTGAAAATGGTGAATTAAGTGGGAGTGCAAAACCACATAATATGGAAATTAAGAAGTTGGTGTGAAAATTCCTTTACTAATTACTTCTAAGTTTATTTCTATTATTGTTGAACTACTATAGTTGAATAGTTTGATAACTTATAAGAACAAATGCATGATCAAACTTCTCATAATGAAATTATCACTAATGAACCTTTGATTGATGAACCACAAGAAGTAGCTTTAAGATGTTCTCAACGAGCATGAACATTTGATATTTTAAATGTTTATATGGTTTATCTACAAGAGTTGAAATTCAACTTAGGATATAATAAATATTCAATTTCATTTGCACAAGCCATTGAAAGTATAATTATGCTAAGCGGTTAGACACTATGAATGAAGATTTGAAATCAATGTGTCACGATAAAATTTGGGAATTTGTTGAATTGTTTGAATGTTCAATAAGTTGCGTAGGTCTTTAAGATCAAACATGACTTAAATGACAATTCCAACAGTTATAAAGCCAAACTTGTTGGCATATGTTTACTTAAAAATATGATTTTGATTATAAATAGGTTTTTTCTGGTCATAAAAAAGGATTCAATAATAATTTTATGATATTAGTAGTTTATTATAATTTAGAGCTACATCAAATGGATGCAAAATTTATTTTTTAAATGTGACTTGGAGGAAAAAGATTATATGGATCAATCTGAGTGTTTTTTAGTTGAAGGAAAGGAACCACATGGTGTGTAAACTTAAATTATATGTGCTGACTTATACAATTTTCTCAACATTGATATCTTAGGCTCAATGATACAATTTTTTTTTGGCTTAAAAGAAAATACATATTGTCGAGTGTATATATTTAAAGGTTAGTGGGAATAAGTTATATTTCTAATTCTGTAAATTGGTGATATCTTGTTTGCTACTAATGATCTTAGTTTATTATTTGATAACAAGAAACTTTTATAAAAAAAATTTGAAATGAAAGATAGGGATTTAAATATTCTGTCACAGATTAGAACGATTGTTAGGGTTTTCTCAAAAGACATATATTAATAAAATTTTAGAGAGATTTAAGATGAAAAATTGCTCATCAAGCATTAAAAAGAGATAAATTAAGCTTTATGCAATGTCCAAAAAATGAATTGGAATGCAAACAAATGAAACAAATTCTTTATGTGTCTATTGTTAGGAGCTTGATGTATGCTTATACTTGTATCAGGCCAGATATGGGTTTTGCTATTGAAATGTTAGATATCAAAGCAATCCAAAAATTGATCATGGAAAATTGTTAAGAAATTTCTAACATATCTACAATAACCAAAAGAATATATGCCCACTTATATGAGATTTGATCACTTTGAGGTGGATATTCAGATTCAAATTTTCATGTTGTATGGATACTAAAAAAATCTAGATTAAGCTATTTTTTTTTTTAGCTGGAGAGGCAATCTCTTGGAAGAGTGTAAAACAATCTGCTATTACTTCATTCACCATGGAAACAGGGTTTGTGGCTTGTTTTGAGGCTACTATTATTGATTATAGCTTACAAATTTTATTTTGGGACGAGTAGCAGACAATATTGTTAAGCAACTGAAAATTTATTGTGATAATCCCACAACCATTTTTCTCTAAGAATGACTAGTATTCAATGGGCGCTAAACATATGAAATTCAAATACTTTATCGTTAAAGAACAAATTTAGAAACAAAGAATATCATGTGAGCATATTAACACAAATCTTATAGTTGCAGATCCATTAACCAAATGATCGTTATCAAATAAATTTAATGAACACGTCAAAAGAATGTGTCACTGGAATATATTACAACAATAAATCCTTTTTCTCCATTGTGTCCTATTGACTATCATATTTTTATTTAATTCTAAATTGGAAATTATTAATAATTTTCTTTTTTACTTTATGTTTTTAATGTATATTCTAAATTGGAAAGTATTAATAATTTTCTTTTTTACTTTATGTTTTTAATGTATTTAACTTTCTGGGCTCTTTTAATACTATTTCTAGTATATTAATGTATTTTGTTTTATTATGCCGAATGCATATATGTGAAAGTATGAATGTTAATAAAATTTGTCTTTAAAAAAGATATTATCATTGAACCCTTATGATTATATCTTATTATGAGTTGTATTAAGTATGAACTTAATATTTTGATACATGGAAGGAAATATCTCGCACTAATTATGTACCAGTCTTTTTTAGTTATTGCTTAGTAATGAATTTATGATTTGACCCTATGAAAATATTTGGTTCATCGCATTATGTTTATTAAATTAATTTACGGTTTAAAATTGCAAAATATGAGCTTGACCTCAAACACTTTTTTGAATTGTTTTTATTAAAACTCATGCCTCATTGAATATTACATGCAACATATACCTCATATAATGTGAAACTTGCCTCAAGTTGCATCTCTCCTTTGTTTTGGTGAGGCGTACACAATTAGGCTCTAGGGGTTTTCTTAAAATAAATATAAGTAAAATGTTCCTAATAAAAATTCCGTATGCCATATAATATATAATTGATGATATAATAGAAGTTGTTACTATCAATATAGTTATTGCTTTAAAATCTAATAAGTATTTTATTAATTAATATTGATTAAATAAAAGAAATATGATTGAGATTTAAGATGAGGAATGAGATAACATAGATACAATTAAGAATGATTTGATAGAAGAAATGAATCATTATGTTGATGATTCTAATGAATGTTTATTAACTAATAAAAGTGATGTGAATTTTTGAATTTAAAATTTCTATCCTCAGTGGCTTATTATGTTTTATTTTAATGCGTAATAGTAAGAAGGTGCAACCGACTAGCTGTATCGAATTTATTTTGAATTATTATGTTATTATACCATGCTTTTATATTTGTATAAATTTTCATTTATGATTTGATGTTTGGATATTAATATGTTGCTTCTCATTTTGAACAAGTTATTACTTCTACAATATGCTAATATGTTACATTTTAATCAATTAATAGGTTATGATGCTAATATGTTATTTCTTACTACATTCTTTAAACTTAATATAATACTTCTTGCTAGTCGTAATTTGTTGATATTAAGGCTCATGTCTCAAATTTCTTTGAGACTTGTGCCTCTTCATACATACAAAAAATACCTCCATAATCAAATGTACAATTTTAAACTTTGAATTGAATAATATCTATTATTTATATGTTTAAATTTACTTTCTTTCTCCTTTTCCGTTTTTTATGATTGCTGGACCTGTTATTGTCGCTGAATTATTAAGTTTCTCATTCTTGTAGATTCTAATTTCTTTATCAAAGCCTCTAAAATTGTTTATTGATATGCTTGTGCTAGGTGAATAACAGAGACATGTCTATTGCTGTTTTAAGGACATTTGTTGAAAAACACAAAGAAGAATATGTCGCCATTTCACGTGGAAAAGTAAAATCTGAAACTATAATCAATGAAGCCACCCCATCTAGCTCACCAATGAAGGAAACAAACACTGTTAATGGTGAAGAGAAGATTATGGATTTTGATGTCACCTCAAATGGGCTTCATCGGGAGGAGGATCATGATTCTGTGGATGCATTAGATGACGTCTCAAAAAAGATATCTGTCAAAGGCTGTTGTGGAGTACCGAAAGCTCCCAAAGTTCTAGAGGTTTGCCTTTGGAAAAGTTATTCTTCTGATGAGATAATATATCATTCATTCACCCTTAGTTTAATTGCTTACTATCATGACATGCAGGCTTTGGCTGCTTCTGGATTGAGGGCACTTCGCTATGCTCTTGAAGTGGATGGGCTTGGTCCAGTTATTGCCCTAGACAATGATGAAGGTATCATGGTTTTTTTATATGGTATTTTTTTTTATCATGTACTATTGATTGATAGATCTTCATTTTTATAACTGAAAACACGATAATATCACTTGTTTATAGCATCTATCAAAGCTTGCATGAGAAATATCAAATTCAATGGGTCCACCGCATGTTCAAAGGTTGAAGCCTATCATGCAGATGCACGAGTTTACATGCTTACCAATCAGAAAGAATTTGATGTGGTAATTTCCTAGAAGAGCATAAATTTTCATTTTGTAATTCAATTATTAATTACCTTATAATGGTATCTTTGGTTCTCTTAAGAACCATTGCCGATGTAGTTTCTATTGAAGCAGGCATCACTTCTTCTTGGAAATTATACTTTTCTCTTGTTTTTCTTCCAGGTGGATCTTGATCCTTATGGATCGCCCTCAGTTTTTCTAGACTCAGCTGTACAAGCAATCACAGATGGTGGAATTTTAATGTGCACTGCCACTGACATGGCTGTTTTATGTGGTGGAAATGGGGAGGTTTGCTATTCCAAGTGAGATATTGTACTTTTTCTTTTTGTGCGTTTAACTCTGAAATATTGCTTATTTGATCAGTCTATTTACTAAATTTGAAAATAGATATGGCTCTTATCCTTTGAAAGGAAAATACTGCCACGAGCTGGCTTTGAGAATTCTTCTTGCTAGCATTGAGGTATTGAAAACTCTACCTTGATATTGCTTTGACTAATTCATTGAATTTTTTTTCCTTGCAAGAGTTTGATGTTTTCATGTTCAAATTTAATGCAGAGCCATGCTAACCGTTACAAACGTTACATTGTTCCAATTCTCTCTGTGCAAATGGATTTCTATATTCGTGTTTTTGTTCGCATATTCACGTAAGGTTTACTTCAATATTGCATGTTTAGCACACTACTTAGCAAAACAACTCTCTTGTTTTATGGCTTTTAATATCTTTCATCAACAACAAGTTTTTTATATTGGTGTGCATATAATTCTTTGATGACAATATGCAGCTCAGCAAGTGCAATTAAAAACACGCCTCTTAAGCTCTCCTATGTCTACCAGTGTGTTGGTTGCGATTCTTTTCATCTGCAATGTGTTGGGAGGACTGTTTTTAAAGTATGCACACAGCCAATGATTACTTGGTTTTCAAATATTTTATTTTGTGATGATTCAATATTTCGTTTCATCCTTATAAATCACATTTCTTTTTTACTTTTGCTTAACAAGAACAACAGTGTGAGGCATGCACCCGGATTTGGCCCCGTTGTTCCTCAAGTGTGCTCAGATTGTGGTAAAAAGTTTAACATGGGGGGACCAATATGGTCTGCTCCGATGCATGATCAGGAATGGGTCCTTTCTATATTGGAAAATGCCAAAGCCATGAAAGAACGATATCCTGCATATGGCAAAATTTTTGCTGTTCTAACGGCTATATCGGAGGTACTTCCTCTTAGCAATGCCATTAATCTTTTATGTGATCTCGTCTAGGTAAATGTACCATTAAGACTTTTGAATTGGTTCTTTTATGAGAACAGCATTGCATTTTGTTATGTTAATCTCATATTTGTTTAGAGTTTTAAATTATCTTCTGATTTTGTATTCCTTATTAGCTATTTTTAAAAGACTTAGTTGTGGAATTCTTTCAACTTGCCATTAATTAAATTTGTGTGCGCTGAAACACATTCTTGCACAACCTAATGTGAAATGTCCATCTCATTTGTGTTTTTTTTTATTTAACAGTCATTCAATGTTTTCAGAGATTATTATATTAGAGTTAATGCAAATAACTTTCAGCAGTAAGATTCCT